CTAGAGCCTCCTCTTAGAAGACAAAAAAAACACCTCCTATATCAGAGACATGGAAGGATGGAGTGAGAAGATGCAGAAGGGTGGTGGACCTTGGACCCACAGTCATGAGCTGGCAGAGATTTAAAGTGCCCTGCAGGTATCAGGCAGATCCTGTGTTATGTTCATCCCTGCACCTGCACAGACTGCAGCAGGACTTTGGCTAGGGAGGGGTGTGGAGTGGAGTGTGTACACTTGTATATCTTGCAGGGACCTGGAGGGACCCTTGCTGCTCATGTATTTTTATGAAGGAGCCCCATTTGGATGACATCTGGATGTCACGTGTGTCTCCAGCAGTATGCTGGGAAACCTGATTTCTGAGAAGGAAGCAGAGGTGGAAAGAGGGCAGCTGGTTCCCACAGTGAAGCCAGACCTTTTCGCCTCTTGTAGCTGATGAAGATGAACAACAGCTGCTGGTTGTTTTCCATGGAAAGAGGTTCCTTTGTGGAGAAGGGGCAAGGAGACCTTGGGGTTAGTTAACTGGAGACATGGCTAATAGGAATGAGCAGACAGCCAGCTATCTAAAGAGCAAGAGAGAAGAAGGTGAAAAAGGCAGAGGGACACTGAAGGAAATGGGAAAATTTGCTTGAGAAAAGGTGAGGAGAAGAACCAGGTAAAGACATTGGTGGTCATGGGAGATGGAGACAGAAGGGAGGATGCTGCTACACGTGCACAGACAGTGTGGAATGCAGTCTTTCTTCCATGTGCCAGACCACACCACATGAAACACAGGTTTTTATTGTGTTGAGCTTTATAGTCAGAGTTGCCACTGTCCTTGGGCATGAGAAAGGCTCAGAATGCCCCAAAAAAGCCTGGGTATGTTATGGCATGTTGGTACTAGGCCAGTATCCCTTCAGCCTTCAGCTAAGACATCACAGGACATCTGACAGGGAATAACAATGTCACTGAAGGCCCAAGGGATGCAACATGGAACAGCACTGAATGAACATGAGGACTTTCTGCACCATGTGTATTGACCAAAAATCTCTTCAAAGCCACTTAACAATGAGAAAGGAAGACATTCATTCCATTTTGATGATGAACTTCATGATGAAGACCATCAGTGCTGTTTGTAAAGAGAAAAGGAAGAGTCTATTTTTGTTATACTTCCTATGCCCTGCCCAGCTGAGGAAGTAGAGGGGCTTTGTTGGGCACTGGTGTCCAGCCAGCAACCACAGCAGTGCATAATTTTCCACAGCAATCCATGAGATCCTGGAGTATGACAGAGCAACAGCCCTTACACTCTTCATCACTGTGGATCTTGCCTAGGGATTACCATACTCCCCTGAAAGCTGAGTGCCACTGGACTGTTCCTTTGGAACATGTCCATATCCCTCACAATTGGCAGGTAGGGAAGAGTCAGACACTGTGGTGTTTTGTAGATCCTTGCATCAATCATTATGACTTTTTTGCCTTTCTGTCTCAGGAGGCAGAGACTGACATGGCCATAGTGCTGTGGGCACACATCTAGATCCCTGTGACTGCTACCATCCAAACAGGGCTTTGTACCCTGAGACTGGCAGACTCCCAGGAGAATGATATCATCTCTAGGTGCTTCTGAAGTGTGCCCCAAGCCACAGAGGTAAGCCAGAATTGGCCCTGGGGTGATGACCACGACTGTTCGCTCAGGCAGAGCCACAGAACGGGGTCCTGCCCGCTCACACGTCACTTCCACACAGGCAGCAGATGCAGAGCTGTTGGAAACCAGATGTCAGGGAGCACTTTGCTAGAAACAAACCTCACTTAACTATGGCCCTATTCCTGCCCATTTCTGTAAGGTCCCCAGGAAAGGAGGAAAGACCATAAGCCTCATGAATTATTCAGGTAGGCCGGGCCCAATCTATAGATCACTCACTGGCTGTACAAGCACATTTGCAATTTTTCTAAAGCTTTGCTTTAGCCTTTAATCAGCAAATAACTTGAGTGTGTCCCAAAATAGATGCTCAAAACAAGTTGGGGAACCCTACAAAGTGTTTTGCTGGAACAGTATCTTCCTGTCAAATATAAAATTGGAAAGTCCCCATGCATACGGTCTGGAAGCTCATGCTAAAATTCTGTGTAAGGAAAAGATACACATCTGTTTATTTGTGGTGATAAGCCTGTTAATCACATTAATGAATTTTATAAAAATAAATTCTTCATCTCATTAAAGCTTTTTAAGAGCTCAAGTTGGTGTTATGTGAGATCTCAATTTGAAAGGAATTGATCTTTTAACTAGATATAACTAATATTTCACTAATACATAATTCACAAAGGCAAAATATTCTTATTTCAGAAAATTTAATGCTACTTTACCATCTTTGTTTCACAGGCAGAAAATAAATAAATACATTTCATATTAAAACCCCTTATTTGGATCCAGGTCATAGACACTGAGGGCTGTTGATTGTTTTCTCCAAGCTGTCCCCTGGCAGAAGTTACACAGCCTGATTTCTGAGTCTAACCATGGGTGTATCTACAATTAAGTGTAGCAAGAGGTGCTCAATTTAGCCTGAAATGAATGATTTGCCAGTAGCATCCAAACAAAGCTTAGCCCAGAGCTTCACTGAGATCTGTGCATTGCCCTACACTGTTCCACTGTGTGTAACCTGTAAGCCTGAACATCTGGCTGGCTGAGAGCACATGCTCAGCACACAGCTGCATCTCCAGAACCCCTATGTGACTGCACCATGTGCTGTCCCAAAAGAGAACTGAGGCACAGTTGTTTTCCCTACAAAAAATAAACAGTTTTCCAGAGTCATAAACTGAAATGAGGTCTCCAGAATTCTGCTTCAGAAAGACAGGGGTAGGTTGTCTTATGGCTAAAATGAGATCCTGTTGTGCCAGGAGAACTGGCTGAGGAAGAAACCTGGAAGAAAGTGGGAATGAAACCCTCGTGCCTTTGCCTGTGTTTTGTTTGACTGTTCAGGTTTATTTTCCTGTTTCTCAGTAGCCATGAATCATGTGTAAATGCAAGCAGTAGCAGTGTCAGGGACTGATATCAGACGTTGCACAGCAGCAAGGCATGGAAAGGGAGTAAACCATCAGTACCACTGATGTTTTTTGAAGCACAGAACTAATGACTGGGTCATTTCCCCAGCTCTAAGTGACCTTCTATAAATCAGACAACAAATCTCAGCCAGATTCTGCTTGGTGCCTGTGGTGGCCAATTTCATACACAGTGGGTTTTACGTCCTACCCAACGAAAAAGTTACTTTCACACTCATTTTGAGGCATGATTGCTATGTACAAAACAATGCAGAATCAGATCCTTCTTTTCACCAGTCTTTCCTGGCAATCAGCCTGCAGGACTGTGAAAAAATTGTGATCTGAACCTATTTGTCAAATTGTGCTATGATTCGAAAGACATGAGACTCATTTCCTATTCATTCCAGCTTACCCTTATATTACAGCAAGGTCTCATGTACATTTTGATCCAATCTAAACTAGGGAAAACCTGAGAAAAACTGCTGTCTTTCATTTTGCTCCCTGCTTAACTTTGGTCCTAACTGAAACAGTTTAACATGCTTTAATTTAACATTAAATGTCCTTGGCTTCCAAGAAAGGAAAAACTCATAGAATTAGCCAAGTAGCTCAAATGTAATGGTAGATCACAAAAGTAAACAGATGTTAAATAACTAAACATAAAATACTACAAAGCAGAAGCAGATTATTTTATTTCCTTTTACTTTGCCTTAACTCCTTACTGGAACCGTGGCTGCTGAAACAATAGTGGCCCCATGTGAGCTGCTGGATTGCAGCTCCTGACTGCAGTGTCTCTTTCCTTGCTCTAACTGAGCACTGGTGGGGAGCTGCCTGGGGTTAAGAGGAAAGGTGGAGGGAAACATTCAGGGAGAAATGGACAACGGGCTTCCCCCTGCTAAAGAATGAGAAACTCACAGTGTCCCAGCTGGAGCTGTATGGAAAGGGAGGTACTGGGATTTTACAGACATCCTCTCCATACTACACCCAACCAGCAGGAAGCAGCTGCTCACTGTCCCCCATAGCAGAGAATAAGCAATGAAGCCACATATAACACCAGCAATGCCCCATGCAGCACGGCTTAAACTCACCCTCTCTGAAGTCAGTGCATCCATCCTCACTGACTCTCACAGTACACTCACCTCACCGGGTTTAATTCTTTCTTTAGGACCACAACCTTCTGTTACAACACTCCAGCTGATGTAAACCTATGATTCTGAAATATATACAAGCCAAAAAGTAGCTTTCGTTTTCCCTTTGCATCCAGCTTTTCTGCACCCTGAGGTGATCTTTTCTCAGTAACTATTTTTCTTCTCTCTTCCCATATAGGAGTTAGAATATAGAGAGATAAAATAAAGACTATGGATAACACATATACATGTATCTGTATATAAAAATGCATATATATATATATATTTGTGTGCATATATTAGCATATTTTTTCTGTCTATCCATCCATCCACCCATACATACATACAAACAAACATAGACAAATACACTCTTTTTCTAGGAGATGTAGAGCAGAAGCAAATTGATCAAGCCAGCTGGAAGCAAGAAGGCAGGAGGACGGTGATACAACGCCCTGAACTGCCTCGGCTCTCCCGGCTGCTCTGTGCTCACCCTGCCCGCTCCCGGCTTTTTGAGGATGCGACAAGTCGCAGTGCCGGGGCGCAGCATCCTCGGAGGAGCGTGAGTGTTCCTCCCGCCCCGGCCCCGTCCAATCAGGTTGCTGGGGGAGGGATGCTCGGGGCAGGGATGCAGGGTTGCCAGGCGACAGCAGCGTCCCCGTGTCCCGTCCCCGCCACCCCCCTGTCCTCCCCCCGGGAGCGGGCTGCGCTCTGCCCGCGCTGCCGGCGCAGTTAAACAGCCGCGGGGAGCCCCGCAGCATGGGGCTCGCCTCCTTCCCAGGGCTTCTGCCACAGCCCCGCTCCCGGCCGTGCCAGGAGCGATAGGCAGCTCCAGAGTGAGAGCCAGGAGCGCAGTCAATGAATAAATGGTAGGGATAAGGCTCAGCCGGCCCCTCCGCGCAGCGCCGAGCGCCGGGGGAGGCGGTCTGCGAACGCCAGCCAGCTCCCACTCCCTGTCTTTGCAACTCTAGGTCGCCTCCTAATTTAAAGCTTTGCACCAATCCCCTTTGCCCGGAAAGGAGAGGAAATCTAGAAAGATGCCAAGCTGCGAAAAGGGACCCCAATTGACAGCGCCGGTCCCAGGCGCTGCCTGGCTAAGCAGAGCCAAAGTTGGTGAGAGGAACGGGAAGCGGGTGCTCCAGAGAGGGGAAAGGAGGGGGATCATCGCTTGGTGATCACAACCTCTCCGTCCCGTTGTCCCCTTCTTCTTCTTCCCTCACAGCTTACCTCTGACCACTTAGGAGGCCTTGATGAGTTTCCATCGGGATCCGATCCAAGGTGGGGGGGAGAAAGGGTGATTGTTCCCAGAGGAAGCAGCTCACACAAGTTTGGGGGGTGAGACTCCCCGTGGATGTTTAACGAGCACATCGGGAGGCCCGCGATGCCCGGGGGCAGCTGGAGACCCTCACCAGGACCTATCCTCCTCGCACGGTAAGAAGCTGGGCTCTGCTATCCCGCGTCCTGGTCCCTGCATCCCGCATCCCTGTCTCTGCATCCTGCGTCTCGAGTTCGCGCATCCCGGTCCTCACATCCGCGGATCCCGCATGTCAATCCTCTCATCCCACTCCCTGCATCCCACACCCTGCAGCCCGGATCCCTGCATCCCGGGTCGCTGCAGCCCACCCCCGCCCCATTCTGCCCTCTGGACCAGACGCAGCCGCTGCCCCGGGGCTTGCGGGTTGTGCAGCCAGGAAAAAGTTTAGAGCAGCGAATTGCGAAGGTTTCCTGACGGGATTCGGGGGCAGGAGAAAAGGGGAAGCGGGGAGCAAGAGGAGATCGATGGCTTTTACACTTGCAGAGGAAGGGTAGGGTTCAGGGACACCCCTGTAGAGACAGCTGGGGGGTGGGCAGTGTGTAGAAAGGAGCTGACAGATGTTGCCCAGAGGTTCCTTCTCCTACAGGCTTTGGGGGTGAAGGGGTGAGATCTTCAGCTTGCCATTTTATGCCTTTCCTTAACTTGGGGTGGAAAGTGCCAAACCAGCATCTGGGAATGCTGAGTGCCCAGCTCATCTCCCCGGATCTGCTGCTGGGAGAGAGGGGGAGGGAGGTGGGGAACCTTAAAGAAATTGGAAGTGCTTTGCTCCTCTGGGAATATCTCCCCTTCAGGGACCTGGCTGGCTAAAGGATCCTAACCCTGGATTATTTCAAAAAGGAAGGAGAGATTAGGAGGGATAATACAGCCATTGTAACTCTTCCACATATCTATCTATCTATCTATCTATCTATCTATCTATCTATCTATCTATCTATCCATCCTCTATCTATATTTATAGATATCTATCTATATCTGCCCACACATCTGTGTGTCCATGTGAGTACACAGCCAGCTGTGTAGGTGTGTGTGCTTCTGGAGCTGTCTGTGCCTGTGGATGTGCCTTGTCCAAACCCCTGAGTCTCTGGGTGTGCAGGTCTCTATCTGTGCTTATGTGTTTGCTTGGATGCACATGGATGTTTTAAATGTACAGATTCATAGGAATGTGTTTTTTTATTCCCAGACAGTGTTTCTCTAACCCTCTGTAGAGCTACAGAGGTGTGGGTACGTACCTTCCATCTGTGTGTGTGCCAGGCACACGTATCTGCTGGGACACACTTGTGGGTGTGAGAAAGTGTATCTCTGTGCCAGTGTATAGGTAGGATGGAGGGAGGAGAGCTGGATTTTGGGGGCTTTATGCATTGAAACAGTGTTTCAATGGATCATTTTATGAACACATCCCTGTATTTCTGCAATCTTGATAAAACTCAAGCAATTCATGAAAACCTAGGCAGGCATCTTACCAATACTGCATTGAACTGAACTAAGGATTTGCTGGTAGTTTGTGAGTTCTTTGGCTTCTTCTCAGCTTATGCCACCTGCTGAAGATTACTTTAGTTTTTTGGGGTTTTTTGGCTGGTTGGTTTGTTGTTTTTTTTTTTAATTAGTTAATCAGCTTTAAAGAACACTCAATTGGAAGACTGTGAAACAGAACAGCCTGGGATACAGACTGGTACCTATTTCAGCTTGTATAATTATATGTTTCATGTTGATTAAATATTCATTAAAACAATTTGAAAATCACACAACCCACCTGATCAAATACATATTTTAGGAAAATTATGTTTTTAATTTTCTTGAAATGCACCTAAATAATGATGAACTCTTCTGTTGTTATTTATGTTGATAAATGTATTACAAGAAAAGGTAAATTCACCAGTTATACTGTGAAAAAATGCACATTAAGCTAATTTTATTCACAAGATAATATAAAAATTGTAATGTTCATGCTTTGAGTGAAACCAGTAACAATTCATGCAAACACTTCTTAATGAACTGATTATTTGAAGAGCAATGCAAGTTGATTTTCCCCTACTATAATATTTCATACTTTAATTTCTGTGAGTTTTTTCTTGTTTGTTTGTTTGTGAGGGGTCTGTTTCAATAATAATGTTGTCCACTACTCTCAGTATCTCTAGAGCCCTCCATTATATATAAAACATAAAACACACTCCAAAATAGAAAACATATTAGTTGCTTTACTGCTCTGTAACTTAAAGACAAGTAAAAAGGCATTGGTATCAAATACATTAAAACTAGACTTTCATCCTGGAGCCAAGATGCTTTTCTAGTCACTGTTGATGTTTGCCTGGGTTACTTGTGTTGATGACCTACTTATAAGCTTTACCAAATAAAGGAATAAAGTTTTTTTAGGCAAATGTTGACACCTTGTCTAGAAGTAAGGTTCTAATTTTATCATTGAAAGACTGGATCTAAAGCAAGATGCAGGAGTAAAGTATCTTTCTGGATTCACATAATGTTTTTACAGTTAAACAAATGTGACAAAGCAAAGTACTAAATCAGACTGGAAAGCCAAAATAAAAGAAATACATTGCAAACAATGCTATCATTCAGTTCAGTGGTCTGTGTTACATAAGTGGAGCTGAATTTGGAAATGAAGGCAGTGTAGGGACATGTAGTGGCATTAAAGAAAGAACAATTTGGATGTTTTGTGTGAGCACAGCTCGCCCATGGCAGTGTCCTACAGAACATAAATTGTGCTGTGGCTTGCAGAGTTCTAAACAAATACTATGACATGAAGGACCTGATTCTAATGTTGCTTATGCTGGGGTCAAATTGCAATTTTACCTTTAAAGCCAGTGGGCTAAATTCTCTGTTTGCCTACAAGAATTCAGGTGGGTCACATGAGGCGTGCACCCACCAAAAGTGTGGTTTAGCAGTGCAATTTGAAAATCCAGTCTCGAGATTTCACAGGGTGTGAGATCCTGTCTACGAGGCTGTTAAATTTGCCAACAGCATCCTACTGAAGGGACTTCATTCCCTGATTAGTTTTTGAAAGCTGTCTCCAAACTCCTATTAAATTTTATGAGGACTGTTGCACCTTGCTTGCTCCAACTTGTACTATAGTTATTGATCAGTTAGTATGAGTTTTTGTCACTGGAAAAGTCACTCTCAGGATGTCACACAACACCAGCAAGATGTTTGATGCTCTCCAGGACCAGACAGCATTACTGTCTATGTGGGAATTGTATAGCTATGGCAAGCTACATAAGCTCTTGTGAAGATGGTGTAATATTGACTGTGGGGCATATTTCTGCTTATTGGTATAAAACTGAGAGCTGGTTTAAAGCTTAATCAAGAATTTAATCCAGGTCAGAGAGTTAAAGAGAAGATTGTCCTCTTGGCCTCCCCTAGTGTGGAGAATAAGTCTGTGCTTTAATCCCTTAGTGGGTAACATTTGCAGTGGAGGGGTATCCACAGCCAAAAAACCAGGGTGACCAGAGGGAGAATCAGACACCCTGTCCCTGGAGACAACCCTGAACGTTCAGAGTAAAACTTCAGTGGACCTGAGGTCCAAAGGTGGCAGGAAAGGACAGCAGTATCCTTCAGTGGTACCATCCTCCTAAGTCTCTGCCTGTGACTGTTTCTTGCTATGGATTTAGCAAGGCAACTTTCACTCTGATAACCAAGCCCTAAACTGGCAGAAAAAAAACCAAACCCTTTCTTTTTGGAAAAATGGAAAGAAATAAACATATTTCATTTTATGAAAATAAAGATTGACTGAAAATCCTGAGTTTAACTTAGCAGTAGGAGTAAAATGACAAAAAAAAAAAAAATCCTCCAAGGCACAATGATGCTTGGGAATAGTGTCAATGCAATTGTCAGTACTGCCACTGGGACAAAACCACAGTGCATTCTTAGGAGTGCTTTAACTTTTGCAGATTAGTGCAATTTTTTCAGGTCTCTTTCTTCAGGTAAGCCCAGAATGCCCTGTGTGATCTCAATGGACTTGCTTAAGGCTATTGCCTTAAGAGGTTTTAGACATTTATTTCAGGGATGTGCAGATTTTCAAAAATACCGCAAGAAATATACAGTCTTGTTTCCAGATGCCTTTTGAGAGTAACACAACAAATTTTCATGGGGGGCAAATCACTGTGAACTTATCAAAATCAAAAAGAAGTCACAAGAGCTACAGCAAATTACTTTTTAAAAAAATAGACTGAAGAACTATATTGCTTTTATCTGATATTGGTCCTCTTAAATATAAAATGATGTAACTGGAACAGTTATCATGCTCATTTTCATGGCTTTGCTGAGATTATGGGAGTGTTCTTGCACTACATGCATGTACTGCTTGTGTAGGACCATACAGGATCCTCATGTAAATCAACAGGCTTTCCCAAAAATGTAGGAATCAAGTTATTAGCTTTTCCAAACCGTCTAAGACCCAACATATCCACATGGAAAAGCATGGCCTTAATCCCAGTTACTGAGGCAGCCTTCCTTCAGAACACTCCAAAGTCTGGCAATGACTAAATTGCCACTAATTGCCACTAATTGACACTAAAGTGCCAATGACCCCACCTCCAGTGCATTCCCAGTGCATCCAAAGGGATACAGCATGATCACCAAGTACATGAACTAGATGGAATGTGCATCAAAAAAGGTGTGCAGAGAGGGAATCAACAATAAAGTTTTCATAGATGAATTGGGAACTTGGACCTCTGGTGGATGCTCTCAGACCTTGAAATTCTCCATTAGAAAAGTGAATAGAGAAGGGAAAAAAAGTTGTGAAAACAAAAAATGATTGAGGAAAATATCTCTGTGCAAAACAAAATGGGAAAAATAAAGATAAGAAAATTGCTTGATAGGAAAGGAAAAAAGAGTATCAGTAGAGATACTCAAATGACTATTCAAGCTGGAAGAAAAGTAAATTAAAAGATAAGCCAGTTGTGGGAAGAAGAGATTTTAAGGCAGATGAAGGTGGTGAAGTCAATGGAGACATTGTCATATTCCAGAGGAAAATCAAGCAAGTCTACACAAGAGAGAATTAAGTCAAAAGCTAAGTGGGTGACCACAGAGTCAGAAAATTCATAGGACAGAACTGTATTAGGATAAATAATGGGATAATTGGTTTTTCATGTGAAGAAGGATGAAC